CGCAGATTTACTTGTGGTTTGGTAATGATCGATAGACGTGCGTGGTCTACGTGAGTTGAACAAATTTTAAAATTCAAGCCAGCAGGCTTGTGTAAATTCCACATGGTTTTGGCAGATTTCAAAATTCTCTTTGCAAACTTGTGAGAAGTCTGCTTAAAATGTGCAGACTATAGGAAAGTCTCTAGACTTTCGCAGACTAACTACAAGTCTCCCAACATGAAATTTGAAATCTGTCAAAAATATGTAAACTTCATGCAAGTCTACCAATCATTCCAAAATTGAAAGTAAGTCTATATGATTGGTTTTTGTAGTCCGCCGAAAAATTGTAGATTTCAAAAATTATATTGAAAGTGTAAGTTTGTCTGATTGGTTTTTGTAGTCAGCTTGTAGACTTTAGAAATGTCTACTGAATGTTCACAGGCTTATAATTAGTTCTGCTAAATTTGTTTTTAAGTCTACTGAAAACTTGTAGACGTTACGTAAGTCTGCCAAATTTTTGCAGAGTATCTTCTCTATAAAAATATAAGGGTGTTTCGTATCTAAACAGAATTTTTACTTGGTTTCCTATTATTTTATTTTTGGATAACTGTTTTTTGTTACCAAACAAAAATATTGATTTTAATTTAGATTTACTAAATAAATTAATTTAGTGTAATATTAATAAAATAAATTTTTGAATTTTTATTTTAATATAAATCCGAAAATTTAGTTTTAATTTATATTTATTATAGATTTTCTTAAATATAAGTTATATTATCAAAAATTATAAAACAATTTATTATTATACTTTTACAAAAATAATAACCCATATATTAATTTAAATTAACTTAAATATTTAAATTTAAATAATATTTTCAATGACAGAGTTGAAAATAATATATTATTGTATATTTTTATTAAATAAATATAAAAATTAAATATTTAAACTTAATAAATATTTAAAATATAGAAATAATATGAATGGACATGCTAAATATTTAGTAATATCGATTCTTTTTGGATTAATATAAATGAGTATGTTATAATGAATTTTTTAATTGTGATACTTTTTAGTTTAATTAATATGAACGAATGGGTTAGAATAATATTTTCTAATTACGGTCATATATAATATTAGAAAAAAATAAATCAATGAAAACAAACTATATTTAAACAAATTTTTTTTTATACTTATTAAAAATTTATATAAACAAAATTGAAAACAAAAATTATATTATACAAATAAAAAATAGTTCTCGTGCGAATGCACATGCTAGAATTTAGTACATAAGTTAATTTGCGTGATTGACTATTACAGTCTATACAAAACTTGTAAACGTCATATATATGAAGACTAAATACGAATCTGCCAAATCGTAATCTAAAGCCTGCCAAATATTTGTATATTTGATGCTAGTTTGATTTGCTTTTCTATAATTTAATATCATGCAAAAAATTGGTGAAGTTCTTAAAAGAAGAGGAATCCTTGATGAAACTATTGTAGATGAAAAAGAAAAATGATACTGTTGATGGAGGAGTTAAATATCCTGAAAAAAGTAATACTCTTGACGTAGGTGGTGAAAATAATGAAAAAATGTATTCTTGATGAATTTGATGAATATGAGGCAGATAGAGGTACTCCAATGGATGTGATGAAAATGAGGCCAACAGTGGTAGGCTTTTCTAAATGTGGTGAAGATGAGACACATTATGGATATATTGAAGGCAGTGTACATTATTGATATAGATTATTGGAATTCTTACGAATCATTGCACGTGAGTTTGAACAAGATGGAGGTGCTCCACCTGGTTCTATAGCACCTTGAGAACATATGTGGGTAAATGTAGACATTATGTGTAGGCATTTAAAAAATATTATTAACTTTTATCAATCCTCTAGCGTAATCTCAATATTATTTGGGAGGCGTTATCAATTTATAAGAAGTTAATAATAATTTTAAATGACTATACATAATTTAATATACAATCTACAAATATTTGGCAGATTTTAGATTACGATTTGGTAGATTCGTATTTAGTCTTCATATATATGATGTTTACAAGTTTTGTATAGATTGCAATAGTCAATCACGCAAATTAACTTATGTATTAGATTCTAGCATGTGTATCTGCATGAAAATTATTTTTTATTTGTATAATATAATATTTGTTTTTTTTTGTTTATATAATTTTTTAATAAGTATATAAAACATTTTGTTTAAATATAGTTTGTTTCTATTGATTTATTTTTTCTAATATTATATATGACCGCAATTAGAAAAATATTATTCTAACTCATTCGTTCATATTAATCTGAAAAATACCACAATTAAAAAAGTCATTATAACATGCTCATTTATAATAATCCAAAAAAAATCGAGATTATTAAAATATTTAATATATCCGTTCATATTATTTATATATTTTAAATATTTATTAAATTTAAATATTTAATTTTTAATTTATTTAACAAAAATATACAATTATATATTATTTTCAACTTTGTCATTGAAAATATTATTTAAATTTAAATATTTAAGTTAAATCTAAATTAATATCTGGGTTATTATTTTTTTAAAATTATAATAATAACTTATTTAATAATTTTTGATATTTATATTTAAAAAAAGCTATAATAAATATAAATTAAAAATAAATTTTCAAATTTATATAAAATAAAAATTAAAAAATATTATTTTATTAATATTACACTAAATTAATTTATTTGGTAAATCTAAATTAAAATCAATATTTTTGTTTGGTAACAGAAATAACAGTTATCCAAAAATAAAATAGTAGGAAACCAAGTAAAAATTCTGTTTGGACACAATTTATAAAAAGTTAATAATAATTTTAAATGACTATACATAATTTAAATTTGATAATTATAATGTAACATTAACATAATTGATACAAATTTTTAGCATCATTTGCTTACACTAAATATGATTTCCCATAATCTAATAGCAAATGACATCTGATTTCACATAATTTAACAGTATCTGTTTTCTAAAATTCAAATCCCCATATTTTACATTTTTTTTGGTAACTCAGGTGATCCAGCTGAATTAGGAGACCGCCGATGGTATAGCTTTGGATTTTTAATTCTGACTGTAGACCAATGTATCATTTCCCCTACAGCGACTAATTTTGGGATTCACAAAGACCATGTGAATGCCCCGATAGTCAAATAGATTAAATGTTGCAATTCTGTTTTTGGGAGGAGTCGATCTCTGGTCTAAACTCTAAACCAACATGACAACTCTCACCAAGAAAGAGAACCACCTTATTACCACCACTTGGTTTCTATACTCTAAACTTATAATAAACCAGTCATTAAGTCAAGAACATGAAAGAGCGCATTTTGGACTTCTAAATGTTAGATATCTCAATGCTCTTTAATTGAACTTTTCCAAAGTATAATACTTTCAAAAATTAAAAGTCAATATTATCTTTAATTTATTGATTAATTTTATGCATCTATTATATTAAAACAGAAGCACTTTTAGTGTTTGTTTCCAAACATTCCTAAAGTTTTTTTTAAAAAAATTTTTTTATATATAAATTTAATTCTGAAAATTAGATATTAATTTAAATAACTAAAAAAAATTCTTTAATATAGGTTATATCTATATCTATAGATATTAATTTAAATAGACTTCCTTAAATATAGGTTAGATTTAATTTAACATTTGAAATTTAAATAAAATTTTCAGAATAATACATATAATTAACAAATATTTTATTATATTTTTTTAATCATATTGTTTCAGATTCAATTTCATATATTAAAAATAGATAAATATTAATATTATATAACAATTTGATGGGACAAGTTAAGTTTTTTTTATATAATTATGGTCTTATGCGGGTTAAGTTATCAAAGCATGCAAGATAGTAGAATTAAATTATTTCAAAATTAGTAAATATTTATATTATAAAGTAATATAAACGGGCGGGTTAGAATTATGGTTTTATAATCATGATCTTTTTCGGATTAATAAAATGAGCGAGTTAGAAATATATTTTTATAATAATGGTCACTTTTTGATTAATAAAATAACCGATTAAAATTATGTTTTTATGATATGGTAGTCATAATAATACTGAAAAACAAAATTATATCTAAACACAATTTTTTTTTATATCACTTATTAGAAAATTATATTTATAAATAAAACATAAATTAGATTATAAATTTTTGATTAAACAAAATTCTCGTGCGAATACACGGAATTAAATCTAGTATGCTATTAAAAATTAACTATAAATTCATAATTTATTATAACTTAACTGTAAAATTCATAATTCAGAATCAACTATCAATTATTCAATTAATATCTAATAACTTCCAGTTTTATTAAATCACTGCTTCTACTCTGCTACAACTCTATAATATGCACTGCCAATCAAGGCCTCAATATATTACCACAAAACATCATAGACACATCATAAGACAAAACAACTATATTCACTATTTTACACATTTTACACACCACAATTTTTAACAGCTCCTAGATTTTTAACCACCGGAAGATATATTACATGCGTATAGAATATATAGTTGACGTATACAACTTATTGCAAACATGCATATAAAACGTGTTGTAAACGTGTACAATACAGTCTAGACGGCTTGCAATATAAATTATTGTGTATAAACATCTAAACGTTTACAGAAACGATAGGCCTATTGGCTACGAGGTGAAAACTCCGTATATAAGAGTAAAAGTAAGATAAAATTTCGCAAGAAGAATATAGGAATGAATTTTCGCAGGAAAATTAAGACAAGTGTCATGAACGTGTCAATCGATAAACGAGAAGGCATATAATCGATACCAGATTCGACGTACCAAATTAATAAATGTCAAATCTTATTTTATTTTTGCTCTGGCAGTTACACTCTTCTTCACTACTGCAAAAACTCTTTTTTTCTTTTTCTCTTAAATAAAATAAATATTACTCGCATGCATGCACATATATATATATATATATACACATACACACATCACCATTGTAAACTCCGCCTCATCTTCATTTTAAAAGTATCTCCTAAGCTCCAGTTTCCACTGACAAAATACTGCTCGTCTCCTATAATATTTTTCTTTCTTCTTCTGATATTATTGTTTCCAGGTAACAAAAACTATCTCTATTTATATTACTTTTTAAAAATTTGCGATAATGCAAATTTGGCTCACGATTCTTATCCAATATGTTTCCATAATTAGGCTTTATCTTGATTTGTATTTTCATTTTTTACATAGGAAAAAATTTTAGCTGGTTAATTAGTTACAAACCCTCACATTCTTTAATGAAATTAATATTAATATTATTGAAAAACTAATTTTGTTCGCTTATTGGAAATTTAGAATCTCTGATTGAATGCATGTTGACATTTGAAGATTTTTAGGTCTTAGAACGATGTCGGTTTTCGAATCAGAGACTTCAACCTTCCACGTTTTCAACCCCCAAGTTCAAACGCAACCCCAGACGCAAACGCAACTGCAAACGTATATGCAAGAAACTGCGGTAGAGGAGAACGCACCAGTAGGCAGACAGAACTCAATCTTGTCGCTGACTCTTGATGAGATTCAGATGAAAAGCGGCAAGAGCGTCGGAGCAATGAACATGGACGAGTTCCTCGCGAACTTGTGGACGACCGTCGAGGACAACGACAACGGAGGTGGTGGGGTCCACAACGACGGAGAGAAACCGACCGTATTGCCACGCCAAGGGTCGTTGTCAGTTCCCGTACCTTTGTGCAAGAAAACCGTCGACGAGGTTTGGTTCGAGATTCAAAACGGTGTACAACAACAACAACCGCCGTCGTCAACATCCGGTCAAAACTCCGACGAAGGAATCCATCGGCAACGAACCCTCGGTGAGATTACGCTAGAGGATTTTCTTGTTAAGGCCGGAGTTGTACAAGAACCGTTGAAGACGACGATGAGGATGGCGAGTTCTGATTTAGGTTATAACCCGGAGTTTGGAGTTGGTTTACATTGTCAAACCCAAAACAATTATGGTGAGAACCGCTCACTTTACAATGAAAACCGGTCGTTTTACTCGGTATTGGGGGAATCGTCACACTCTATGACCGGAAATGGTAGGAGCAATCAGTATTTAACCGGTTTAGATGCTTTTCGGATAAAGAAACGGATAATTGACGGTCCACCGGAAATTTTGATGGAGCGGAGACAGCGGCGGATGATTAAAAACCGCGAATCTGCGGCTCGGTCTCGAGCCCGGAGACAAGTAAGTGGGAGTTTTGAAATTACGATCTAGATACTATATATAGAAACTTCAATTTTATAAAACAAGCTTATAAGATTTTTGGTCAAATCCGGTTTGTAACTTGAGACTGCATTTCCATTTACTGAATTTTTGGCTTTTGTGCTAATTTCTTTGTTTTACTCTGTAAGGCGTATACTGTGGAATTGGAGTTAGAGTTGAACCAACTCACGGAAGAAAACATGAAGCTGAAGACAATTGTGGTACTTTCTTGATTATGCATTATTGCAAGTTACAACATGTATTAGCTAAACTGTTTTATGGAAAAAGTTTATATTATCCAGTTTCAATTTCTATTTTTAATATTGGTAGGAGGAAAACGAGAAGAAAAGAAGGCAAGAGGTAATACTAATTAAATTTTCATATATGTTATAAGAAAATAATACAAATTTCTTATGTACTAAAACGGTCATCGAAGTGTATATATGGATTATCAAAGATGGAACATTTCTTAATTAATGTGCTAGCTAGTATTGGATTCAAAGTTAATTTTATCGGAGTGCGCATCAGTTTATATTCTAACAAGCGTTATAAAGTGTTTCGTAATGTAACGGATTAACAAATAAATGTGATAACTTTGTTTTGACAAAAAACTTTATTGATAATTAATTAATGCAATGGCCTGCAGGTGATGAATAGAAGCACACAAATTACTAAAGAGAAGAACGGAGACAAATTGAGGAGGATTCGTAGGATGGCTAGTGCCGGGTGGTAGATGAGAGTTTTCGTAATTACATATATATACACATATATATATATATAAGTTATTTTAAGGCAAAGGTGGAATTTGTATATAAGATCATCTTCTTTTTGTCATCAAATATCTATACTATTAATTGGAATCATTCAAGGAAAATATGTTTGATTGACGTGTTATTTATGTTATTAAAATTTTATTTTATAATAAGAGAGTTTTTTTTCATGTGAACAGCAGGAAAAAAACTAAACTAAATTAATAAATTAAGTAATTTATATATAATAAACTAATAAAAAACAAAAAAATGCTAATGCTTTTATAATTATTCGTTTTTATCAAGAATAAGAGTAAAAACTGGAAAGCAATTATAAAATTCAAAAATCGATTTAAAAAAAGAAAAATAAGAAAGATAACCTGAACAACAGAGGAACAAAACTGAGGTTGCCCCCTAAATTACGCCATTTTCTATGGCAAGTTCAACAACAAAAGAATTAAATGTGATACGCAATGCACTCGATGTGGGGCAGAGGAGGAAACGATCAATCATGTTTTATTTGAATGTCCACCTGCAATGCAGATGTGAGCTTTGTCACAGATCCCAATACCTACGGAATTTTCCCAGGAAGATCTATTTATGGAAATTTGGATTATTTGTTTTGGCGTACACCAACAAGAACTTCTAATGAATCATATCCATAGATAGTATGGTACATTTGGAAAGCAAGAAATGACAAACTGTTCTCAAACATAGACAGGGATCCACGATTAACGCTTAAATTAGCAGAAACAGAAAGCCTTTTATGGATTCAGACACATAAATTGGTAACTGAAACGGAAATACACCATCCTCAATTACCATTATTCCCGACCTCCTTTAATAATGGATGGTGTTCGGCGGATGGTTCTTGGAAGGAGACGGATAAAAAATCAGGTATAGGATGGTATTATAGGAGCGAGGAATCCAACGAGACCATAATGGGGGCACAAAATTTACGACGCAGCTTATCTCCTTTACATGTAGAAGTAAAGACACTATTATGGGCAATGTTGTGCGTGATTGAAAATCAGCGAAGAGAAGTAGTTTTTGCAACAGACTGTTCTGATGGTGTCAGCACCAACGGAATGGCCAGCATTTGCACTACAATTGGGGGAAATCCAGAAATTCAGAGAGAAGTTCCTTTTTTTCAAACTGATCCACATACCACGAGCGAAGAACAACAAGGCGGACGCATTGGCTCACAGCGCTAGAGTCTATCCAAGGAATGTGATTTATGTGAACTCATCTCCACCGGTTTAGTTAACACCTTTGGTTTAGGAGAAGAGGCTGTTGACAAAAAAAAAAAAGAATTATCAAAATATAAAGAAGAGGATGCAGATGAAAACAAAATAAAAAAAATGAAAAAAATTTGAAAAAAAAATAAAGAAGAAAAAGTATAAGTCGAAAATGATGAAAAAAAAATGAAAAAAGAAAAGATAAAGAAAAACACAAAACTAATGAACAATGGTTGAAAAATACGAAAACAAAAACAATGAAAATAAAAAAGAAAACCAAAAAAAAAAGATAACAAACTATAAAAATATAAAGATAACAAGAAATTTTATTTAAGATAAAAATATAAAGATGAAGAATGAATCTTATTTGAGATACTAGATTTTTCTTCACCTGTTCTGAATTAAAGATGTTTTAAAATTGTGCATACAGATTACGAAAGTATTTAATTTTTATATATATTTTATATTAGAACCTGATTTATTACACATATAAATATAATTTAATTAATGATAAAATAATCTGCAAAATATAAATAATTAAAAGTAATAAATAATAAATTAATTTATATAGGTTTAGGATAACATCACTTATTTAAAATTTGTTTTTTATAATATCATTTAATTCAGAACAGAAAATCTTAATTAAGTAATTAATTTTTATTAAAATATTGGTTTTTCATTTAAATACCCAGTTGAAAATTTTTACCAATGGAGATGCTCTGACATTACAAATTTAGTCAATTTAGTTAATTGTTCATTTTAAATATTATAGATTTGTCCAATAATCTATTATATTAAAACAGAAGCACTTTTAGTGTTTGTTTCCAAACACAAAGTTTTTAAATTTTTTTTTTATAGATATAAATTTAATTCCGAAATTAGATATTAATTTAGATAACTAAAAATTTTCTTAAATATAGGTTATATCTATAGTCTATAGCTATTAATTTGAATAGACTTCCTTAAATATATGTTAGATTTAATTTTTTTTTCTATTATCCAACTATTACAATCACATTTGGTCTATCATAGAAGTGGTTCCATTTTCGACCGGCTCGGTATAATCGATTTGAGAAAAAATAACTCCTCTTGTTCGAGCTCCTTTTGCAAGACTATCCGCGCGGACATTTTGAATTCTCGGAATATGGGATAAGGTGAACTCTGAGAAGCTCTAGTGAAGTATACAGAAAGATTCCAACTGTGTCATAAAAGATGGCCAATAAACTGGTGATTCACACATACTCACAAGGTCTGAACAGTCGGTCTGAATATGCACTAAAGTCATATGTCTTTCTCTCAGGCATGACATAGCCCATAAAAGGCAATCCATCTCGGCGTGAAAAGCCGAGAGGCTTCTACGACATCCTTGTAGTGCAAAAATCTCATTCCCTCTGCCATCCTCAAAACTCCACCCAAGGCCGCTAACCTGTCCGTGATTGATCCAAGAAGCATCAATCCGGCTTATCGGGATTTGCAGTACCTCGGGTAGCGATATCAGGGCCGGAGGGGGGGGGGGGGGGGGCAATGCCTCAACGTGAGCGTCATCGTCGTCTTCAGGATGGTTTGCTAATCTCCAACTTTCCGTTTTCCACCTTTGCGTGGATGAAGGTGTCTTCCGGGAAATTTCTTTCCCGTTGAAGATTTTCTCGCTCCTTGCTTTCCAAATAAACCATAGGATCCAAGGATATACATCCTTTTGAGGATCTGTCATGCCTTGCTCTTTTGTTTTCTAAAAGAGAAAACTCATATTTTGATAAATAGATGTACTCAGAAAGACACCCAGAAGGGATGGAAAGTCCGATAACGCCCAGACTTGTAAGGGCGGGGGACATAAAAACAGTAGATGGTTTATAGACTCATCAGGATCTCCACAGTGAGAGCAGCGTTTGTCTGAGCCCATATGTCAGTAGGTGAGGTTCTGGCATGTAGCAACGCACCCTGATAAAAATTACCACATAAAGTGTTTCAGATTAGATTTAATTTAACATTTGAAATTTAAAATAAAATTTTCAGAATAACACATATGATTAACAAATATCTTATTATATTTTTTTAATCATATTCTATCAGATTAAAATTTCACATATTGAAAATAGATATTAATATTATATAATAATTTGATAGGACAAGTTAAGTTTTTTTTTATAATTATGGTCTTATGCGTGTTATGTTATCAAAGCATGCAAGATATTAGGAGAAAATTATTTCAAAATTAGTAAATATTTATATTATAAAATAATATAAACGGGCGGGTTAGAATTATGGTTTCATAATCATGGTCTTTTCGGATTAATAAAATGAGCGAGTTAGAAATATATTTTTATAATAACGGTCACTTTTTGATTAATAAAATAACCGGGTTAAAACTATGTTTTTTTGATCATGGTGGTCATAATAATACTGAAATTTTTTTTTTAAAAAAATTATAACTATGCACAATTTTTTTTATATCATTTATTAAAAATTATATTTATTAAGAAAACATAAATTAGATTACAAATTTTGATTAAAACAAATTTCTCGTGCGGATGCACGGGGTAAAATCTAGTTTTACAATTAAGAAAGAGACATGTTGTTTGTTTAGGGGATTTTCGGTCCTCCGCTAGGAACAAGCCTTCTGCAAAACAGGAAAGTCGTCAGAGCCTGAAAAACATGATGGAAGTGTGATTTTTGAAGACACTCCGACGCTCAAGTCAGAAAATAGCTTGAAAAAGACCACAATATAGCTGTTCGGAGAGCGGAAAGGAATCAGAAAACTTTGTAAAGGAAAATGGGCAAAGAATCCTTGAGAAAAGTAGGATATGCTTGGGCCTTGAAATAAGAATGGGCTTTTTGCGGTAAAAAGAGAGAAAAGGAAAGTTTAAGAGTAAATGAGCTCTACGGTTTAAGAACCACCGTGGAGAAGAACCGAAGTAAAAATAACCGGAAAGATGGCCGGAATGGTGTAGAAAGCCTGGACTTAAGAACCACAAGTATCTAGAGTGATATCGTGAGGATTAAGTTGGCTAAAAGTGTGAGCCCATTTCTGTGGGAAAGAGTAAAATATTTATAGGGAATTACCTGACCCGGGTTAGTAGACCAGGTTGGCCCATGGATGGCGGTTCGGGTAGATCGGCCCATGATCCGACCCGATTGGGTTGAAATCTTGTGATGGTCTCACACTTTTGATGGTCTCACCAACTTTCTTTGGCATGTTATGCTTGCAATGAGACCGTCTCTTAGCGCTTCTCTTTCATTTTTAGTGTACGAGTTGGGTCGGCGGCTCAGACGTGGTATGGCTCTTCGCTGAAGCTCTGGTTTTCCCTCTGGCTCCTGCGAAAAGTCACTATCACCTGACACACGTAAGGAAGACACATTAAATACCTTTCTCGTGGGCTTGGTAAGGGTATGGGCAATCAAATCAGAGTAAGACATATTCCTATTGTCGAATGAAGGGAAACTTGAATAATATTCCCGCCCAAACGAATCACTCATACTATGCCTGGATCCCTCGATACTGAGACCGGGTTGTCGTGGATGGAAGATTTTGCTCTCCGGGTACTGATAATATCGTATTTTGACCACTTTTATATCGATTTTGTAAATGCTTTTCAAATGTTTTATTTATTTTAAGTGTTTTTATTATTTTTTATAGTATTTGTAGTTACAAAACTCTTTTCAGGTAATTAAGGCAAAAGGAGTGCATTTTGGAGCAAAATATCATTTTGGATAAATTCATACCGTCAGAAGTTTTACATCCGATGAATCTTTCACCGTCTGATCATCCCCGAAATTGGACCTTATATAAAGGAGACAACTAGCTTTCATATGAAATTGGTTTGGAAACAATCCAATAGTTAGATCTCCGGATATCTTTGATGCACGGAAGACTTGTTTTGAAGTCTCTC